GAAACCAATCCTTCCTGGTAAGAACTTTTTAACGAGGTTTGATTCCATGAGATGGATTTGTTAACCCTATCCCCAACTCTCCTCCTTTATGAACGCTTGAGGTCGGCAATAATCTTAAAACGCTGGATTTACCTGCATCCCAAAGTTGATATTCACTCTGGGACTCGAACCTTGTACCGTTCTCTTGAAAAGCTATCGCGTAATCCACTTAGACAATGAGTCCTGATAGCCATTTGCTTGTGCAATGGGGTGAAGTTTGTGCAAATACGTGTGTAATGCGCGAATATATCACATAGTTAATCACATAGATAATCTTCATCTTCTGATTGCATTATCAAAACTACTTAAAAACTACGAAATTCTGGTTAATTAACAATAGGTTAAAAATTGTCTCAGTTATTTGAATAGTTGCTCAAGGGTATATATCTGCTAGTTAAAAATAGATACGTTTTTTCTTTGAGAATATCATTTTGTCTAGAAAAAGCTGTATGGTTTATATACCCGGGACGTTACTTAGTTTTCATTGATTGAATATTTAATGATTAAATTCATGGGTTGATCTAAGCTAGACCACCATTTAAAACCTGGAAGCATTTGACGGTCTTTTTGCCCTGGTATGTGACTCCTCAGCAGTGAGTATTCACGATTTCGAATGTTGGACTCAAACCAAGGATTTTAGGTCTCATGAGCGAACGCTAAACCTATAGACCATTGAGTCGGCATCCGACGGTGTTAGTGTCTAAATTAATCAATCCATGAGTTTTCGCAATCACTCATCCATTAACTGAAGAAGATGCCTATATCTACCCGACACGGATTGGACTCCATTGATCACTACTGAAGAGTTCCATACTAGGATGAAATGGTCGTCCAATGCTTCCAGATTTTAAGTGATGTTCTATCTTACATTGACCCATGAATTCAATTATTAAACATCATTACAATGTCCACAAACCCCCCATTCTTACATTTATTAATTTGAATACATTCATTTCCCGCTTCATATTTCAAATTTAAATTTTCATTGAAGATTTCTACAATTAGTGATTTATTAGAAAAAGATTGATTCAATAAAACAACTTAAAAAGAAGAAGCGATAATAATGAGTTGATTTTCAAGTGGGATTATTTTCCTCAATAAAGCAACTAGAACTTAAATCTATACCATAATTAGATTAAGCAGCGCCTAGCTTTTTTCTAACCAACAGCTATCATCGAAGTCACACCTCATGGTCAACACCTAACGTGAATTATAATTTCATCGTATCAAGGTACTATGAATGCTTTGGAGACTGTAAAATACAAAGGAAGCAAAAGATTGATTAACACCGCATGGGTCATTACATACTGTACAACTAACTGATGCATGTTGGTTGTCCTGGACTTTGATAGGGATCGATAAACTGTTCAATATTCAATGACCCAACTGACAATTAACTTCACGAGGGCTCAGTGACATTTTGCTGATCCTACAAAAGTATTCATTACCTAATATATCTAAGATGGATAATAATCAGATATTCGCTTCTGAATAATAAAAAATCAAAGAAATGACTGAATAAAAATTCCCTCCTTCCTTTTTTTTCTCCTTTTTTCCCTAAAATTTTTATCTAAATTAACCATACCTGTTGATAGTTTAAAATTATTTCCAGTCGTTTCTTTTTTTTGTGTAAAAATTTTCTTTCCTTTTTTTTTCTTTTTTACTTTCTGTCTCTATGTGTGTGTGTATGTGTGTGGTTAAATGATAATTTATATCAGTTTTTTAAAATAGGGAAAAAAAGAAAAAAAAAAGGGATAAAACATCTGTTTATCTAAAGAATACATATGAAGAATACATTTTATCAGTCTCCTTTTTCCTAAAAAAAGCAACAGATTGGGTATACATGAACTGATATAGAGTCTTTGTAGTATGTGGAATTTTTTTTACGCCTGTTACTCCCAATGGAGCATAAGCCGCCGACTAACATTGTCTAACCCACTCTGTCCTCTGCCTTCCTTTCTAGTTCTATCCAATTTTTGTTCATTCTACTCATGTCTGTCTCTATCTCTCGGCGTAATATGTTCTTTGGTCTTTCTCTTCTCTTTTGGCCTTCACGATTCCATGTGAGGGCTTGTCTTGTCACGCAGTTGGATGACTTCTTTAATGTGCGTCCTATCCACTTCCAGCACTTCTTCCTGATTTCTTCCTCCACTGGATAGAATCTGATTTATCCTCTCCCACAGTAGGTTGTTGCTGATAGTGTGCGGCCAACGGATCCGAAGTATCTTGTGTAGACAACTGTTGATAAACACCTGTATCTTCTGGATGATGGATTTTGTAGTTTTCCACGTCTCCGCTCCATACAGTAGAACTGTTCTGACATTTGTATTGAAAATTTTGATCTTAGTGTTGATTGACATTTTTCTTGAGTTCTAGATGTTTTTCAGTTGTAAATATTCTGCTTTTGCCTTGCCGATCCTCGCCCTCCTATATGCATCAGATCCACCGTGTTTATCAATGATGCTGCGATGGCATTTGAAGCGAAATGTATTGGGTTCGAGTCCCAGCTTGAACATCAACTCTGAGGTGCAAGTACATCCAGCTGACGAGTCCCAAAGAGGACTAAACGCACATCCTGGATTACACTGCTAGCCGCTATCCATCTTTGCTTATAATAGTCTGATGCTACTTTTGTGTAATGGTCTATTTAGATTAACAAACCATAGAGTTTTACTGAATCTAATTGCATACCGTTTTTATAAGCGATTTGTTGTAATTACAGGGAATTAATGTTCTACAATCAAATATTTTGGTAAACGGTCACTCAAAATCATGGATTGGCTGAGGTAAGTCATTAACACCGTTGGATGCCGGCTCAGTGGTCTATCGGTTAACTGCTAGACTGATAGGTCAAGGGTTCGAATCTCGCGAGTGCCGGATCGTGGATTCGCTCTGTTGGGGAGTCTCATAATAGGATGAAACGGCCGTCAAGCAGTGCTTCCAAGATTTCCATGGTGGTCTAGCTTCAATTGACTCATGATTTCAACTATGAAAATACTAAATCCTCCTCAAGACCCACTCTGAAATATTTTGTAGATGGTTTGATTGTCAGCTGCTAGCATCGAATCCTGTTTATTCTAGTTTGAATTTCTAACGATGCTTCCGATACACATTTTTTCCAGAACACAAACTTGGTTGGAACCATTATTCAGCAATTGTTTGTACTTTATTATATAAACTAACCAATGGAATAAATCTAAGAAACTGACATTTGAAAACCACGTCATTTAAATATTGAAAAAAGAAAAACAGAAAAAAAATTACAGTACAGAATTCCATTTATCTTGGCATACATTCATATAAATCACTCGAATTCACACACATACACACACCATTGGTAATGATGAAATTACATTGAAGCTTATTTTTCAAGATAATCTATTACATAATCTTAATGAAAGTTAATTAATAGTCTAAGTGAAATTGTTTTATTCTAAATGTAATCAATGGAATGCAATTATTAAGCATTCTAGATGATAGTCACATATCTCTATGAGTAAAAGAAAATAGTAATTTCGGTATTAAACTCAAAGTACTGGACGGCCTTTTCGTCTCACTATGATACTCCTCAGCAGTGCGCACCCACTGTCCCGCCTCGCGAGATACCAATACAGGACCTACCAGTCTTGGTTCGAGACTGGTATGTCTCGCAATCCTAGTCTTCATGGTAAAAACACTTACATTCTAACCAAGCGAATGATATTTCGAAATGCCAGATGCTTTATTCAGTGAGTTATCGATTTCAAATAGATACTAACTTACCTAACAAATATAAATGGGAAGCTATGGTGAGTGGAGTTCAATCCATGTCAGGTGTAAGACAGTTACCCCGTTATATGCATTGGATGAACAAATGGATGCATAAAATCGTATGTTGAATGAAGTTAATCTCTAATATCATTTAACACCTGCTCAAGTCTTGAGTTCGACATCCGCTTTGTTATATCTAAAGCTTGATTCTTACTATGCCGCGTACTACTAGACTACTTAAACGATCGAACCCGCAACGTCGCAAGAGAGATGACAGAAGACTAGTAAGTAGGAATTTTATTCCCCAATGTCAAGTACAGTACAAAAATCTCATGTATTTATAGTTTTTGGCTGAAAGTAAATTATCATTTCGGACAGCCAATAGGCACATAGTGGGTCCTTCTTATTCATCCAATAGGGAAGCTACACATCGACATTCTAGAATGTTCCCCTAGTGGTGATTGACTGGAATATCTTCGGTTCTTTCTGGGCTTCTTGAGGCTTTCTTCAGTTTGTCAACGACCTATCCTTACAGCTTTTGTAACTGTACATAAGCACTATTGAAGAGTCCTATACTAGAACATACATAAGAATATGATTGAATCATCTATCGGAATCATTTTCTTCGAAAGGACTCTGACTATACGTTATCTTATTCGAGTTTATTATTATCAGAAGGGGATTTCTGGAGATTTAGTATATTCATAGTTGAAATCATGGGTCAATTGAAGCTAGACCACCATGGAAAACCTGAAAGCACTAGACGGCCGTTTCGTCCTAGTATGGGACTCCTCAGCAGTGCGCATTCACGATCCCGCACTCGGGAGATTCAAACCCAGGACCAACCAGTCTCGCGCCAGAGCACTTAACCGAGTTTGCTTTTTTTTCTTCTTTAATATCAGTCGTTAAGATAGTTCACAAGCATAAAACAGCTGTTTAATTCCTATCCAGCTCTTCTGTTTATTTTTTTTTACTAAATTAGTTGACATCATGTATAACCCTTTTTCTAAATTCATTAGGTCCAGTGTAACTTTTGAAAATATCCAATGAAAAATGTCACAATCATGATTGTTTTTGTGTATTGTATATATACACTAATAGGTTAATTCATGTCACCTATATCTACATTTATATATGAATAGATAAATAGATGTACATATATATAGGCAAATAGGGATTTCAATGAAGATTCATTCGTTTAGAGGTCTATATATATGTGTGTGTGAGAGAGAGAGCGAGAGTGAGAGTGATATAGGGATACATACCTGTCTACCATCATGGTTACTATATATATATGAATGTATGACAGGAAGGATAAATTACAGTAAATGAGGCGAAAAGTTAACAGTTTCATTTACTAGATTGTATATACCACCACCAAATTGATGACATATCTATCTATCTATTTATCTACCTCTAGAGTATATCAGACAAATAAACAAAATAAAAATCAGTTATGTCGATGATAATGATGACGATGATGATGCCGCTGATGATGATGGCGATGAGTACAGTATGACAGCTAACAATTCTATGATCAAAGTTAATTATCACTATACTATACAAAATTCCTTTACCTAATTCTATTTGCTTATCGTTACTCTCATATGTGCGTATATTAGTATCTATGTATCTATCTTATACTTATGTATACATGAATACATACCCTACAGATAGACAATGGTTACTTTGTAACACGCCCATGGTTTCACAAAAACGACATTGTTAAATTGGAGGAAAATGTATTTCTTCCTATTTGATTACATTTACCTTTAATATATGTCTCGTATATACATACATCCCCCAGCATCACCACCACACACATACGTACATATCTATATATACATATAGAGAGAGACAGAGTCATTTGTACTGTATCATCAAATGATTATACACATTTTTTACTCCATAGACAACATGATGAAAGTACCGCATCACTACACTAAACACAATAACAGGATTCATATATTCATAATGACGGATAAGGATTTCAGCGGGAAATTTATTCTTTCATTTTATGAATTATGTTAGTTCATTTAGAGTTTTATTTTATATGTCAAATTATGATTTTCATGTCGAATGTATGGATACTAAAGATGATACAAGCTAATCATATCACCATGGTAACTAATCATAGTACTAATAATAATAGTACTAATCATGGTAATAATAATAATAATATGTATGATTTATTACCTAATTCTACTGAAAACCTTTTGAATAAGGAAACACAAATTGATTTAATTAATCGTTTACCACGTTACACACAAATATTGTCATCTTCGTCGTCGTCGTCGCCGACGTCTTCATCATCGTCGGCGGTGACAACATTCTTAGGTTCAGAATTCATTCAACTTAGTTATCATTGTATAGTCTACGATGAAACACCAGCTCAGTATAATTTACTTGATGAAACGAATGGAAATACATGCCAGTTACTATCACCATCGTCACTATCGTCATCAACATCATTATTGAATACACAAATGATTAAAACAAAACACTTCGAGAAGTTATTCATCAATGTGAACATTATTACAACAGCTAATCCTATGGCAAAATATTTTAATATTAATCTCAGTAATTATACATTGTATACAAGTCAACATATTGATCGTGAAGAATTATGTAATCAAGCAATGATAATGACTATGACATCATCTATACCAGATTCATTAAGAACATGTTGTATAAATCGTCGAAAAGAATGTATTTTTCCATTGAATATACTTGTACAAACAAGAATTGGTAGAGATGATGATACTACTACTAATACAGTTAGTAGTAGTAGTGATAGTGATAGTAGCACTATTTCTAAACATCTATTCGATAAAAGAACTAATCATGAATCATCCTTTACAAGTGATACTGCAACCTCTGATATTAGTAGTATAAGTATAAGTAGTAGTAGTTCACGTTCAAAATTTTTTACAATTCATATAAAACTAATTGATATAAATGATAATGCACCAAAATTTCCAAATCCTCAATATACAATTCATGTTTCAGAAGGAATACATGTTGGATCTAGGTTACCATTACCATTAGCAGAAGATTTGGATTGTATAGATTATAATATTATACGGTGAGTCTGATTGTAACATTCAGTAGCATAGATGTATATATATTGTTGTACATGTATCATGTTTCAATGGTTGACATTTGTATGGTCAAATTGAATGGCACTCTATTTATTATTACTTACCTACTTACTTACTTACTTACTTACTTACTTACTTACGCCTGTTACTCCCGATGGAGCATAGGCCGCCGACCAGCATTCTCCAACCCACTCTGTCCTCCACCTTCCTTTCTAGTTCTATCCATTTTTTGTTCATTCTTCTCATGTCTGTCTAAATCTCTCGGCGTAATATGTTCTTTGGTCTTTCTCTTCTCTTTTGGCCTTCACGATTCCATGTGAGGGCTTGTCTTGTCACGCAGTTGGATGACTTCTTTAATGTGCGTCCTATCCACTTCCAGCACTTCTTCTTTATTTCTTCCTCCTCTGGATGGAATCTGGTTTGTTTTCTCCCACAGTAATTTGTTGCTGATAGTGTCTGACCATCGGAGCCGAAGTATATTGCGTAGACAACTGTTGATAAACATTTGTATCTTCTGGATGATGATGGCTTTCGTAGTTCTTCAGGTTTCCACTCCATACAGTAGAACTGTCTTGACATTTTTATTATTGAAAATTCTAACCTTGGTGTTGGTTGAATTGGTCAATTTTATTTAATTGGAAAAGATGAACTTTTGGTGTTTAGATCTGCTCATACATGATCATGTCATGGATCGGAACCTAATCTTTAAGGACTCACAATGAAGTTGTTAACTTTAGACTACTTACTTTTCAAGTGTAGACTATTAAGGTTTAATTAAGTAAAAACCATACAGTTGTTACCAGGACAGAATGAGTTGGAGAATGCTGGTCGGCGGCCTATACTCGATTGGGAATAACAGGCGTAAAAGAGTAAGTAAGTATACAATTGTTAAGTATTTCATAGTTGATTCCTTGAGTTCAATGTGTGACAAGAAGTGCTTTCATCCCGTTATGATCTATCTTTATTAGTATATGTATGAAGGGTACCGATACAGAGTTTCAATAAGAGCATTAACATTTCGATGGCGGCTAATCCAGCTGATAAATCACAAATAAGTCGAAAACGCATTTCCTAGATTCGTCTCTTTATCACACTTCATCTTATCTTAGTAGATTATTTCTATCAAAATTATGAACTTATGAGTTAGATGATTTCAGTATGAAACTTTAACTCTCTTTCTAGACGTACCTCAGAGTACTCAATTTTAAATAATCATCAAACTGAACTGTTTATTTTGTCCATCATGATGAAGACTAGCGAGTGAGAACACTAGTGAGACAATCGAATGTATTTAATCACAACACCATAGACCATCTCACTAACATTTGGCAATCACACAGTAAACAGTTAATTTCCAAACTGCTCAACTTCATGGATCGCTTGAAGTTAGGCATTTACACCATGGATGCCCGCTAGTTCAGTGGTCTATCGGTTAAGTGATCTGGCGCGAGACTGGTAGGTCCTGGGTTTGAATCTCGCGAGGCGGAATCGTGGATGCGCACTGCTGGGGAGTCCTATAATAAGACGAAACGTCCGTCCAGTGTTTCCAGGTTTTCCATGGTGGTCTAGCTTTAATTGACCCATGACTTCAACTATGAAAATACTAAATTCTCCACAAAATCCCGTTTGATAAATTTCCAAACTATCAATTAATTGTCTCACTCGAGACTGTTCCTTCTGCAAATATCAGTCCATAGTCTCTGATCTCACTGTTCATGCATTTTCATACCAATCGCGTTCCGTTCCGGTTCTTTCCTTATCGATCTCCTGCTGAAATACATTCTAAGCCTGACCATCACCATATATTACTTATATGGATATAAGTAACCCATACTACAATAGGAATTATCAATGAAATCTCGAAATAGCATTTTGTCTCAGATAAGTTTCATTAGTTATTCAGAATCGCATCCAACTTTTCATACCTACATAATATAATTGAGCATAGTAACTAAATCTCCAAATGTCAATTTCTTAGGAGCCTGAGGTTGTTTCATTGTCTTAGATACTAATAAAAGTACCATATCAATGGAAATATGTGATTTGTTAATGTTCACTTAATGGAGTTTTGTTCTCCGAGCTGGATGGTTTGATCGTGAAGCTTTCATTTCCCAATGGAATATACGACCAAAACAAGGAAATAAACAATGTCAGATTTAAGTTCAACAACAACCAATTAACATCGAGGTGTACAAGACAAGCTGTAAACTACATGTGGAGAAATTCAAACACTTCACTTCTATCCGAAGTTTGTGCTGATGATGTCGTTCAGAAGGATGATGAAAGCTCCACATCCAAACCATTCAACTCAGAGAACAAAACTACATGAAAATCATCCACCTGTGCTACAAATCTTTTTCACCATCTCAATGTTCACTTGTTGTTATTCAATAAAATTCTATTTGAATAATACAATTACTAGCTTAGATACTTATTAATTATCATTATATATTTTATATAGTTGGAATCATGAATCAATAGAAGCAAGACCACCATAGAAAACCTGGAAGCACTGTATGTCCGTTTCGTCCTACTATGGGACTACTCAACAGTGCGTATCCATGATCCCGCCTCACGAGATTCGAACCCAGGACCTATCGGTCTCGCTGAGGAGTCCCACAATAGAACAAAACGGCCGTATAGTGCTTCTAGGTTTTCCATGGTGGTCTAGCTTCAATTGATTCATTATCTCAACTCTATTAATTTACTAAAATCTCCACAAACCCTCTTCTGATAATTATCATAATCTATGTCTACATCTATGTATCCATGTATATATTGTATTTATGTGTGTATGTACGTATGTAAGTGACTTCATTCTTCTTATCAATTTGAGTATCAAACATAGAAACAAATAAATTTTCATTATTTCAAAGTTGATCAAAAATAACAATCAATAAACGGTTGTGATTTTATGAATTGATTTGTATAGTTTCACTGATGAAACTCTTTCTCCTGAATAACATTTTCAAAAGTATCTATGTTTAGAAAAAATTATTAAACTATAAGTTGATAATGTTTCTTATCTTCATAGTTGAAATCATGAGTTAATTGAAGCTAGACCACCAAGGAAAACCTTGAAGCACTGCTTGAAGGCCGTTTCGTCTTATTATGGGACTCCTCAACAGTGCGCATCCACGATCCCGCTTAATGAGATTCGAACCCAGGACCCACTGGTCTCGCGTCAGAGCATTTAACCGATAGACCACTGAGTCGGCATACATGTTGTTAATGTCTAACTTCAGCCAATCCACGAAGTTGAGCAGCCGTTCGGCGAGACTAAACTACATGAACGACCTTTGAACGAATCCCAAATGACTTTGAGAAATATTAGCCAATGAGAAGACAATTAGTATACAGTAAATATATATCATACAAAACTCAAAAATTAAAGGGGATACTGTTCTTTTACATGACTCAAAAACTTATCGAGGTTAGATATATGTTCATGAGTTCTAAAATCATAGTGCATCCGGGACAGGAACTCATCCGCGTGGCTCCATATTAGTCGACCTCCGGAACCATGATAAGGTCTCAAAAATTCTTTCAGCCTCGACCACATAGCTTCAATGTTGTTGGTATGTTGGTATGGTTTTGGGTTTTATGATTAGAGTTAAGGTTAAGGGTTATGGTTTAGGGTTAAGGATGAGACTATAAATTATGGACGACCTTTGAGCGACGTTAGGGTGACTCTGAGAGTGTCAACATAATAACTAAGACTAAATAAGGTTATAAACCTGTGTGAAGAATTCAAAGTATGATTTACAGCTCATGGTTAATTTTAGGAATTATATTTAGGGTTTTCATCACGAACTGACATCAGCTATAATGCCAAAACTATATTTATACAAATGGATAATTGAATTTCGCGCCAAAATCTTATGATCACTTTTCTTGCAGACGCTGGATTATCACGTCTTCTCTAAAATCCCTTGTAAACCCGACCGTTACGTAAGCATCAGGTACCGAACTTAGCGCCGTGACCTTGAAAACCCGCGAAAGCTTCTGGTTGGTTGGTCCATGCAGTTTAGTCTCGCCGGTTGAAAAGATTTGATTGGAGAAAACAGTTAGGGAAACCTAGAGGAATTGCGAATTAAAAGAATCATGAAGGATATAAAGGACAATTGATGAAAGATTTGCATAGGTTTCACATTTTACGAATCAATTCTGTAATTTTGCATCAAACAATAAATTGGTATTCTCCATCAGAGTATTCGTTCATTACATTACATTACTAACTCCTGTTACCCCTCGTGGAGGAGCATAGGTCGTCCACCAGCTGGTTCGCCCCAACTCTGTCCTGGGCAATCTTTTTCAGTTCTTTCCAGTTGTTATTCATCCTTTTCATATCTACTTCAATCTTCCGGCTTAAGGTGTTCTATGGCCTTCCTTTTTTTTCGCTTCGCTTCCGGATTCCAAAATAGCGATTGCCTCGTGATGTAGTTTGGTGATTCCCTTAATGTATGTCCTATCCACTTTCAACGCTAACCATAAAAAAATAATTCAAACCGTTCATTACATATACATCACTTAGTTAGTATATATAGAGAGAATTATTTAACTGGTGATTATAATAAACCAATTGATTTCACAAAACTTGACATAAATGACAATAAACCGATTAGACCGATAATTTAGGCATATAATGCAACATATACAATTTCAAAGAGATGGATGAAGGTTACTAAGATGAATACTCATTTTTTCACTTCTGCTTATCATTGAGTTTAACGGTAACATTTTTATACTGATTAAATGAAGAACAATGGGTTATTTCCATAGTTGAAATCATTAATCAATTAAAGTTAGTCCACCATGGATGACCGTTTCGTCCCATTATGGGGCTCCTCAGCAGTGCGCACCCACGATCCTGCATCACGAGATTCAAACTCAGGACCTTCCAGTCTTGCGCCAGAGCACTTACCCGGTGGACAATTGAGCCGGAGTTATTTGTTGATTATTTCATATACTGTATTCATTTTAA